AAAAAAACTGCAATTTTTAAATTATTGGTATGTGTTTGTAAGATATAATAATTACATTCATCTTGGGGAATTAGTACATACTGCATTTTGATCATTTTTACTTCCTTTTCCCCCTTTCTCCCCTTCCCAGATCCCCTTGCCATCTCCACAAAGTCTACCTCCTTTTTTCTGGTCATCTCTTTTTGAATTAGTACATCTTGTAATTTGTACGTTATTTTCAGTTCTTCAGGAGGGTCTAGTAACACCAGTTTTCCTCAGTCTATTCTTTTTTTTTTTTTTGATACCTGGGACAGAACTCAGGTCCATGCGCTTGCGCAGCAGGCAGTGAAACCACTGAGATAAATCCCCGGCCCCTCAGTCTCCTCTTGTATGTTTATGTTCAATGTCTAACGTTTTCCAGCTTCTTATGGTTAAACTTAGCATTTTTTTCAGCTTTCTGTCCCTTTACTCCTCCCTCTTCTACCCCCTTTTCTTAATATGCTTTTAAAAGCTTCCCTGAGGTGTTGATTTCTTCAGGAAGTTGGTTGTTCTTTGCGGGTTTCCATTAAAACAAGCTCTACAATTGCTTTGAATAATTCATAAATGTTTTCTCTGTTCTACACAACTTTTACACTTAGAGAAGGAACAGGTTTTCTGATTTTTGCTCCATGAATAGTTCTTTAATATTTTGCATGTTAAATTTGCTTGAATTTCTGCATGTTAAATTTTCTCCCCTACTCATTACAAAACTAAACAGAGCTCTGACATAGGTTTGTCCTGTAGCTCGCCACATCCGGTATCTCAGCTACTTCATGTAGTGTAAAGTACTGGGGAGAGAATACTGTAGTCTCTTCTGTTCTATTCTTTCATTTACCAACAAATCCTGCTTGTCATAACCAGTAAACTGATGTCAGTCATAACCCACCATTCAAAAACACAGGTATATTGAGCATTAGCTTAAGTAAATGAGTTGGAAGGGGGCCATATGAAATAATGATGAAATCTGAATTCTGGTCCCATTGCTTACTAGTTGTGTTATATATATAAAATATAAAATACATATAAAATTATATATATTAAAATTTTTTTTTTTTTTAGACAAGAGTTTGTGCTGTATAGTTCAGGCTGGGCTTGAACTTTGTATGTAGCACAGGTTGGCCTTGAACTCTCATGAACTTGGACAAGTTACTTAAATGGAAGCTCTTCTTTATCTTATATTTGATGAGATCTTTTCCCAAATGTTGTCCCTTCATTTTTTTATTTTTAACCCTCTCCTTTAGCTCTTTTCTGCAGAAAATAGGGCACAGAATTAAAAGTTAAAACCAAAAATGATTTCTTATCCCCTTAAGTTACTGTCTTTTCTTATTTGTCTTTAAAAGAATAGGTTATGTTTCCTGACTCCAGTTTTTATCATTTTCATTCTTGAACCTGCTACAGTCAGGTTTCTGTGCCTTATCTCATCTCCTAAAACTGCTCTGGCTGTTTTTCTGTTCTTGTATCTCTGGTAAACTGGTAGGTCTAGAGGCTTGAATAGGTTCAGATTCAGTTTGTTTAGGCAAGGATATTTCATAGGTGGTATTGTGTATTTCTTCTTGTCTTCTAATAGGAGGTCATGATTGATTAGTTTCAGGTGTCTGTTCACATGATGGGTTTAGCAATCATTGATGATTGCTACTTAGATCTATTAAATTATCAGAGTTTTCAAAATGATGATTTTCTGATTTTGCAAATGTATTATTTTTTCTGTTTTTATGAGGGTTTTTTTTTCTGTTTTTTTTTTTTAAATTTTGAGGATCAAAACCAGGGCCTTATGCACACTAAGTAAGCAGTCTCCCAATAAGCTCTTACCTCTCAGTTGTGATTACTTTATAAAGAAAATTTTCCCTCATCCACTAGTATTCAGTTAGCTTGAAATAAAGGCAAGATAGATGCTTAACTGTTTTATCAGTTTGTAGAATAAACTTTTAGCAATAAGGCTCATTTTTCTTATGATAAAGTTAGGAGTCGTTAATTTGAAGACTTAACTTTTTAGGGAAACTTTTTAAAATTGAGGTACTACAACTTACATACAGTACAGTACATAAATCTACATGGACGTTAATTTTACACCATCCAGATGAAGTGATAGACTCTTGCCAACACCTCAGTCAGCCTCTTTTCATTCAGGTCCCCTTGGAGAGTTAACCCCGATCCAGGAGTTCTTAACATGTGAACCCCAGATCAGCATCATTTGTTAGAAATACATTTCCCTTTTCCCTGTTCTTTTTTTCTCACTGGTACTGGGGATTGGATCCAGGGAGCACTGAGGCACCACTACAGCTTTAGAAACACACTTTCTAATGCCCTACCCTAGGCATTGACTCAACAGACTCTGGGGGCCAAAACCCCCTGATTTCCCTGATAATGTTTTAGCAGTCTTTCAAGTGATCCAGTATATAGTGTCCACTACTGTGTTCTAACTTCTTATCCTAATTAGTTTATTTAACCTATTCTTGACCTCTCCTCACATAAAAGGATCAACTGAACATTTTTCACATTCCATTCTATTTCCTGTAGCAGCTGTGGATCTTTTTTTGTGGTCTGGGGGCAGGAAGGACTTGCCCCTTTCTCAGCTTCTTAAGGCCTTTCCTTTATGGGAAAGAGGATATAGAAAACAAAGGGACTTTGTGTTCATCCTGGGGCAACCTCTGATCACCTTCTGTGTGCCCCAACCTTCTTGAACACTAGGTGGAGGCCGCGGAAAAGAACTTGGTGTTCCAAATTAACATGCAGCTGGGTTATCTTAGTGTTCCTTCTTAGTGTTCCCTTTTTCTCATATGCTCTGCTGAAAGTGAGACTATTCAGGTAAACCTCACAGCAGTTTACATGCTTTGTGGTAGTTGATGTACAGAGCTGAAGAGTAAGGAGGGGTGTTACATATTCTGCTGTAATCTGAAGGTTGCCAGATGTTCTGGGTTTTATAAATCTGAAGAAATATTATTTAGCAATTAACATTTTAGTTAGTTAAGTTTCTCTTTAGAATTTAGAATGCTGAGCAAATGAAGGAGAAGTAGCCTTTAAAGTACAACCCAAAAATGAGTGGCCCTGTTAAATGCATTCTGTTTTAAAAGACAGCGTAACTATTCAGGTGTTATGCTTGGTCATTATTCAGTTTGGTACCAGCATCTTTTCCTCAGTCTCTGCATATTAATGACATTTACATGCCCCATAGTTAATTTGTGTTCATGTTCGTGAACTAAATGATAATGTTTGGAGGGAAAGATTTTTATGCTTTGGCCAGGAACTTCTTGTTCTTCTCACCTGGTAGTATTCTCCCTGTCCTTTGAAGTAAAATTTCAGGGATTAATTCACTTTGACTTTGTATTTCAGGTTCATAAACCATAGATTCCTTCTGAGCCTAACTTACTCAAGTTACTTGGATCTCCACCTGAGTAAAAATTAAGTTGTAGAGGAGGTCAGAAAGGTTGATACAATAGTAACTGAGCCATTGTGCTGAACTTGCTGTGGCCATTTTAAAACCATGAAGAATCTGGAATGAAGTAGTACTATTTTAACTCTTTTTCTTTGGGCAGAGATATCCTTTTTACTTACTTAATTGCTACTATCAAGCCTTTGAATCAGTTTGTGCCATAGATGATAGCCAGGAAGTACAGAGGAAAGGGAGATAGGGAAGAAGTAGCTGAGCAATGTAAGGTAAAAAGCAAACAAATAAGAAGTCATTTTAAATTATAATGTGAAAGCACATTTCAGAAGTGACTGCTTATGCTGTGTAGTTCTCAGCGTTGTTCAGTTCCTGGCAGAGAATTTATGCCTATTTAAATCCCTAAAATGGAGGCACTTCATAACCTTCTACAAAGTTATTTGAAAAACTAAATAAAGAAAGTGAGTGGGTGGATCCTCAGATGATAAGGTAATGGATATGAAAGGGGTTTGAAAAAGTTGACAGCGCCTACTGTTCCTCTGCAGAACATCTCCTTTAATTAACTCCAGGCCCTTCAGTGTTAGGGGTCTCCTGTAGCATTAGCTGTGGAGCTCTTCCCTTCACTCTTGGCCCAATCAGCCACTCCCTCAGAGTATTTCATTCCTTTGTCAGGAAAATAGTCTGCATTGGCCTTGGAATTAGGTAGACCTGAACCCAGATCTGCTTTGGCAGTTTATGAACTTATGATTTTGGACAAGTATTTTAGCCTTTATGAATCTGGGTTTAGTTAGGTAAGGTGGGTTGAACATCTACCATGTTCATAAGTTATGAAAATTAAATAATTACTAAGGGTAATTATCCTGTAAGAGCTCAATGTTTGTTCCTTCTTTTCCCTTCTTGGCTATGGATTCCTTTTCTGATCAAGAAACTATGATTTACTAGATTTTAAAAAGGAGTTTGTATGCAGTTTTGAAAATTCTTTCAAATGTCCAATACCAATTCTGTAAATGCACTATAATTTAAAAAAAATTTCAGAAACTAACACAGGATATCTCTGACTCTAAGCCCTGTTACAGGTATTATTCTTAGCTCATCATTAAATTAAAGCTCAGAGACAGTATTAAAGTTACCTCACAGAAGACTGTATTGTTAGATGATGTAACCAACATGTACTTTTTCAAATTGTTAGTGCTTGTATTTTTTAGATAGTTAAAAGGTTGCATATTGGGTAAAGTTCATCAAAGTGCAGCTACCAAAATGAGGCTGATTCACAGTCTTTTATTTCATTTCAAAGTTACATGCAAATGTTGGGGAAAATTTCACGAATCTCTAAGGCAGAAGATAGCTCATCATTAAATAAAATGGCCGTGCTCACAAAGTGTGCAGATATGGGAACCTTATAGTTCACCATCAGACTATTTTATTCTTTAGATCACAGTTCAAGATGACTGACATCATTCATGTTGCTGTTATTTGTGTATTTAGAAATCAGTATATATATTATTGATAGGATTTTCTTTATTCGAGTCTAGGGATTGAACACAGTGCCTTTTCACTGAGCTACATTCCCAGACTTTTTTTTTTTTTTTTTTTGAGACAGGGTCGTATGCAGTTGCCCAATCTTGTGATACTGATGCCTCAGCCTCCCAGACTAATGGGATTACAGGTATATGCCACCACACCTGGTTTATTGTTAGGAAATAGTACATTCATATTCTGACATTTTTCTCCAGTGGCAGAGCCTCAAATACTTTGTAGTGACAGTGTGTCTGTCTTTAGGCTCATCTTGTAGCTCTGAGTTATAATACTGGATGTGCTGATCGTATATATTGCCCTCATTTTAGACAGGAAGATGAGGCATAGAGAAGGGAGAGAACAGTGTTCTCACAGTGTGCTTGTGATAGGCAGGAAAATGTTCTAGCCTTTTTACCTAACACTAGAGGACCAAATCTTTTTTTTTTTTTTGGTATCAGGGAACGAACTCCAGTCCTTGCGCTTGCGCAGCAGGTGGCGAAACCACTGAGCTGAATCTTTAATGTATGTTATTTAGTAATTTGCAAGATGACCCTTTGGTGTAATATTAGTACTAAGTTTTCTTTTTAATGGGTATCCATAAAATGTTTGTGTTAAAGACCAATATTAAAAATGGAGATGGCAAAATTTAAAAAAGTGGAGAAGGCAGTTTTCTGGCATAGATATTGCCCCTGTCCCTTTTTTTGTTCATGGAAGACATTGATGCTGTTCACGATACTAATGCAGAGTCTAGATTTGACCTTAGAATCCTTTTTTCTTTTTTGTATTTTGGGACAGGGTCTCTCTGTGTAGCCCAGGCTGGCCTCAAACTCATGGCCATCCTCCTGCCTTAGCAACACAAATGTATTACAGGCATGTGCCACCACACCTGGCCACAATCCTTTTCAGCATATTACTTAAGGCAGGTACTCCCAGTCAATCACAGGTCCTTAAAACAAAAACTTTTTTTCAGTCTTTATTTACTGCTTATTAAATTAATTTGCATTAAGAGATTATCAATTTACTTAAAAGTTGAGGCAGGTCTGTTGTGATCCTATACCAGGGCTCAAAGTGTATAGGACTTACTTTTTTCTCTCAGCAGGTTCACTTTCTTAAGGGTCAAATAGACCTGCCTACATTTAGAAGTTAGATTCAGCAGTATTATTGGTATGGAATAGGGAAAGACACAAGATTAATTGTAAATGGAAAGGTTTTTTTTGGCTGTAGCCAGTTTTGGACTGAATGTGGGACCTCTGAGGTGACCTTTACAACTTGAGTTTGAAAGGCATAGAAAGTAGGAAGTGTAGGGTGAATTTTGGGGAGTGAGAGTGCATCTTGTACCAGCTATTTTTTTTTGGTACCGGGGATCGAACTTGGGACCTTGCATTTGCAAGGGCCCCTGGCCCTACATCTTGAAGTGTAGCTGTTTTTGTTGTTGTTATTGTTTACCTGCCTTTCTCAGTACTGCTTTCAGGCAGTGTAATTAGTCTAGAAATCATCCTGTACAGTAAAGAATCTTTTTTTTCCCTATTACTTTGTAAAGTTTATAGGTTCTTAGTTTAAACCATAGTTGTTTGACTACAGCTGTGGAATTTTTGGTTAAAAATTTACACATATAGGTATATATATTCTTCCCTTTTTACAGTATTAGCTGTTGGGGACAAGATATAACTCTTACTATAATTCTGTAACTCTTAATTGAAAGTTTGTATGATCTTTCTCAATGTTTACTTTTGACATAGTTAATAAAACTTACATACTCTAGAAACTAATTCTTAGGCCAGATTTACATTTAAAAGTTTAACAAATTAGTGTTATAAAATACATACAATAAAAACCCCCAAAGGCATGTGTTTTTCTTTTTATATTTTGATTTTGTTTGTGTTTTCATAGAATTTTTACATGAGCAGATAGTGACCATATTTATTTTATATTTTAATATTTGTTGCATCTTTATAATCTCATCATAAGACATGCCGTAATTTATTAAACAATTACTAGTTTTATGCTCTTGTGAATATATTGAACTTTTTGTGTTTTGCATTATCTTTAAAATAAATTTAAGAAATTAATTTAATTAATTAAAATAAATTTGAGATTAATGAATGAATCAACTTCACTAAATCTTTATTTTTTTCACCTTTGCACTAATTGTAGTCTGTTCAGGTTACTGCATGGAAACTCTTTTGAGATAGTTGCTTAAAATGACGTTGATATTTCAACTACTAATGTCAGAAGAGTTTTTCTTTTTTTGGTACTGGAGATCGAACTCGGGACCTTGCGCTTGCGAGGCAGGCGATGGAACCACTGAGCTAAATCCCCGGCCCTGAATTTTTCTTTTTTTGAGGCTGTTATATTCTTTACCTACATCTGTTTCATGGCTTTAGTAAAGTTTTAAAAATACATTCCAGGTTTTGTAAGATCATATGTGTTGTTTTAAAAAATAAAATCACGTTTATGTTTTTAAGGAGAGTATAACCTAAAATAAAAAAAAATTATTTTGACTGGAAATTGGACAGTGTACTGTAGAAGTATTTTTTAAAATCCAAATTGGGGGCTGGGGATTTAGCTCAGTGGTGCTGCCATCTGCCTTGCAAGCGCAAGGTCCTGAGTTCAATCCCCAGTACGAAAAAAAAAAAAAATCCAAATTGATAGTCTGATTTTATTATTTATGGGCTTTGCTGTCATTATCCATAGCCCAAGTTTATACAAGTGTAAAAATGTTTTATTCCAGCATAAAGTTAATGATTTAATTAGTATATTCAATGTTTTGTGAAAGAGTTATGTAGGAATCATAAGTAGCTTTTGAGTTTTCCTACATGTAGTTCTATATGTATTTACATGTCCATGTAATAAGCCTTAGGAATGTTTAATCTACTTTTTTTTCCTCCTCAGATTCTGACAGATTTTAAGAACAAATGCACCTTATAGCTCATGGAAGAAAAAACACAAATCAGAACATTTTTGGATTCCAAGTTGCCGAAGTATGGAGCAAAATCTGTAAGAAGTACACTGCAGCCAATGCCAAGTGGGACAGCTGTTAATTTATTAGGAACGTCCAAGAGTAGTAATGTGAGCAGTTACATAAAAAACAATGGATCTGATTGTTCATTGTCCTATTCATTTAACTGGAGAAAAGCAAGTAAATACAAATTTAGTGCTCAAAGTATTGAAGAGCCTAATAATACTCAAAATTCACATGATAAATTAATTGATCCTGAAAAACATGTTCCTACTCAAGGAAGGTTTGATAAAAATGGAATAAAGGGAGGTTTGAAAAGTGTTTCTCTGTTCACATCAAAGATAGCGAAGCCATCCACTATGTTTGTGTCATCTGCAGAGGAGTTAAACCAAAAGTCTTTTTCTGGACCATCTAATTTGGGTAAATTCACCAAAGGCACATTATTGGGAAGGACTTCCTTTTCTTCAGTCAGTGCTCCAAAATCACAGTTGAATGGATTTTATGGCAACCGATCAACTAGCAGCATGCAGAGGCCTAGAGCAAACTCCTGTGCCACCAGAAGCTGTTCTGGAGAAAGCTTAGCACAGTCCCCAGACAATATTAAATCTATTACTTGTGAGAAAATGGTAAGGTCACAAAGTTTTTCACATTCCATTGAGAATTCATTCCTTCCCCCTTCATCTATAACTAGGTCACATTCCTTCAATAGAGCTGTAGATCTCACAAAGCCTTATCAGAACCAACAGCTACCCATTCGAGTGCCTCTCCGGTCAAGTATACTAGCAAGAAATTCCAGGCAGTCAGAAGTTCTCAATGGGAATGAACATTTGGGGTATGGATTTAATAGGTCTTATGCTGCTAGTGGAAAGAAGTTGGCTTTACCAAATGGCCCAGGTGTAACTTCCTCTTTGGGTTATAGGATGGTTCATCCCTCTCTACTGAAATCTAGCCGACCTCCATTTGCTGGGACTCTCACAGTTGATGGCAATAAAAATTCACCTGCTGACATGTGTGTAGAGGAAGAGACTGCAGATTTGACTAAGGACAGCACTGCTAAGAATGATCAAGAACTAATTGAAAAAGGAAGTTATAGAACAGAAAATGACCAGACCATGAAACATGATGCTAAAATTAGATACCTGAGTGATGATGTGGATGATATTTCCTTGTCTTCTTTGTCATCTTCTGATAAGAATGATTTAAGTGAAGACTTTAGTGATGATTTTATAGATATAGAAGACTCCAACAGAACTAGAATAACTCCAGAGGAAATTTCTCTCAAAGAAGAAAAGCATGAAAATGTCCCATCTAAAGATATATTTGATTCTCCTAAGGAAAATGAAAAGGACTTCAGTAAAACTGATGAATGGCTAGATATAAGTGTATCTGGTAAATATTAATGTCCTTAAGTTTATTTGCTTTCTCCTAGATAATGTTATTGACTTTACATTTAGAACTTTCTGATAAATTCTCAAGATACTGTCAGTTTCACAGAGGGATGGATCTAGATGAAACTTGAGTGGACAGCATTTATGTTCCTTGTGACTTTGCTCCATAGCTCATTTTTCACCCTATCGAAAGTGAAATCAGTAAAAACACTCTTGCCTTTGCCCTTCTTTAGCTGTCACACACACCCCTATTTCTACTTAGTGTAGACAGTCCTTCCCAAATTATGTTTTTCCCCCACTTCCCTCAGACAGTGGTATACCATCAAACAAACCATCTCCAGTTAGGTAGCAGATCATTGAGGTTTATAAGAGTAAAACTGTATTGTACCAAAAGGCAAATGAGATAATATAGGCTATATCCAATCTTATTTTTTTATCCCAGGAAATTTTATTATCAATCTTTATCATCTTCCAGAGGATCTTTATATATTTTTTTAATTGAAGAAAGTGAGGTAGCACCTTTTAAGCATTTCCCCTGATAGTAGGTTATCCTGGCCCTAAATACTGGAGAAAAGGTATCTGTGAGTCCATATATCCTGAATAGAGAACAAACTGAAGGACTTGGGTAAAGGCATGTGGTTTAATGAAGGGATTGGGTCATGTGTAGAGATGTACATAAACTCTTGGTTGTCAGTGGGTCTTATAAAAGTGACTGTCAGAGCAAGTTTTTTTCCTTACAGTGGGGTAACTGTGAGGTTAAGTAATGGGCACAGAGGAAGGGAGTTTCCTGGCTAGTGGTTAAAAGTAAGTATCTTGGGAAATATTAAAGGAATATGAGGCTTTATTTACAGTTTTAGAAATGTTGCAGAAGTGAAAGATGGCAGAATGAACTTCCATTTTGCTCACCATTCAACATTATAGTAGAGTATTTTTAAGACTTTGTACTTTTTATTGCTTAGGTTTTTTTTTTAAATTCTTTTATTGGTACATTTGTAGGTATACAACACAGTTACGTTTCTCATTGGGAA